TTTGGCTTTGTAAGAGCTCATTTGTACAACGACATCATCGATAGCATCTATTTGGAAAAAATGACCCCTGAACGTAGAAAAATGCCATACTGAGGTTTTCACAACTGAGCTATGAAAAAATGCAATCTCCAAAAATGCACAAACTGATATTTTTGGACTTGCCAGGCACTGTCAGGTCGAATCTTCCAAAAAATACGTTAGTGCACCTCACTATATTGCGACAGTCACCAACGACATTGCCCATCGAACACAACCCATCAATCACAAATCGCGATCGTTATCAAGCAATTCTACAACTTACTGACCCATGTACTTGGCGATCAGTAATGACGCAATATTGCGTTTCAATCATCACTCATGAATCATCACTTATGGTAGACAACGCGTATAATGTGCGGGGGGGTGGGGGTGGGGGTGGACAGAGGACCCCATTTTGTCACAGAGGACTCGCTTTTCTCATTTTACCAAATATTAACTTTTATATTGCATTCGAGGTACTACTTGGTTGCTCGCATGTTCGAGAACCACAGCCACAAAATATGACCAAAGGATAAAATGGTGCGTCAATATAATCAAGGGTCAATTCTGGCCACATTGCTGGGCCACATTTACAATGCAGAACGCGATGTTGGGGGCACTACTGTCTTGATGCTTATCTCGCTGGTGTCGAGATTCTTCCTGTCCATCTTGCACATTGTGGTGGGACAGAGCACGCATCAAAATCATACTTGAACTTCTGTGAAACACTGAAATTATCTTCGACCACTGGTGCTCATTGAATGCACGCTAATTTGTACTATGGTTCATGGGGCAGCTACCGCATTAAAGTTTTTGCAAGAAAGGGGACTGCACCAGTGACTTTGGAAAATCGTAAAGCTCCGACCCACGCAAAGCCCGATCGCTCTCAGCCTGACCATATTCTCGCCCGGGAATGTCGCCATCGGCTCGGCGAGGAATCGTCACAGCCATCGCAACTCCCACAGCGCTTAAGGCAAGCTGAAGCGCGTATCACCTCTTCACAGATCCGCGACACTCATGGCAGCTGCGGCTGCCCCAGTCGGGAGAGCGCCTGCTCTCACCGCCAATCCAATGACAGCGACCAGCGAGCACGGTCGTGCGCGAGCGTCGCTGCCTCGCAGTCTCTCGAGATTCCGCCCGTCCAAACCCCGTCCTTGGGTGCGATTCAGATCCGTAACCCATCGCCATCACCCCTGCTGTAGGGATAATTATCCCATGCCCCCCATTTCGCGCCCCACCTTGTCTCCACATCGACCTGCCCGCCATCGACCATGGCGCCGGCGCTCACCACGGGCCGGGCCGCAGGCGCCTCCTGCATGCCGCTGCACCTGAGGGATTGTACGCGCAGCCTTTCAGCCCCGTGCGCCGCTCAAATTTGCTCGCCGCCTCAAAGCGTGGAAAGAAACCGCTCGCGGCGCCCGGCTCCATTTCGAAACGCGCCCCGCGACTTCGCGGTAAAAGAAACGTCCAACGGAAGAAGATCGAGGCGACGAACGCCTTCAACGGCGGAGCAAAACCGAAGAGGAGGAGATCCAGACGGCTAGACGTATCTAACAATAGCGCTGCTGTTCAGCGCGTGCTGCGAGCGCCGCCTCGCACCTCCGGTCGCCCATGTTTCATTGCGCGCCTTCGCCCAGCATCGGCTCGAGCCCGCCAGCCGGCGATTGGCCCTGCAGGGTGGGATCGACCCCGATGTTGGCCAGCCCGGGGCGGGGTGGGGAGGGCGGGCGCCCGGGCATGGTTGCCCGCAATTCGTACCCGCCGCCTCACCGGCATCCAGATTCGAGTTGCTGTGCAGCTGCCGGGGATTGGCAATTTGAACGCGTATAGGTATCGCGGCGTGGGGCACGGGTCCTTCGGCAGGGGGCGCAGCTGACGTCTTCGTCAGCGGCTTCGCGGCAGGCGAAGGACTGGGCCGTGGGGCCCACCGCCCACTTTCGTGCGTCGATTGTTTTGCAAAATATCACATCACATTTCGTTGTACAGGTGCGGCTCCCGTCCAATCACAAAGCGTGTGGGCTTGTGCCGCCTAGCGAGAGAGCGCGTCGACTGCGTCATCGCGATGTCTGATTCCATTTCCAGGAGATGCGGCTTCAAGAATGCTTGCATTGCGTATGTTGCATATTGTGTATTTTAAGTGGCACGCGTTGTCGACTTCGACGCCAGAGTTGGTCGCATTTGGCGAAGTATGTTTCCAAGGCGGTGCTCAACTTATTTTCCGGAGGGGCGTTTTGGAAAGCTGACAGCCGTTTCGCCAGCGAGATGCCAGATGAACTTCTGGCACAGCCATGCGCAAATTCTTTCACCATGTGTGTCTGCATCAGCTAAACGCGCCCACACATGTAGAAGGCGGGTAATGCAAGCATGAATAAGCCACGTTAACTAGTATAATACCAATATAGATATATTGAATGTCAATGATTGACATGATTGGCAATGATCATAATAGATATTTAGCCTAACTGCAATATACAATTCCAACATATAATATGCGTCAATTTGTAATGCCAATCGATGGAAGCAGGTTTTGCATCCATTATACACCTTCCGAACTGTTCTCAGGAAATTGGAAATATAATGATAGCAACAATGAAAATGATACTTCCTCCATCCGGAATTTAATGAAACAGTTTGCTTGAGACGCCGCATTTGCATCACGCACTTGCCCATTTCCCTTCATAATTGGAGCACAGCACCCCCAGAAGCTCATTATTTGCTGCCTAATTTTCATGGAGAACAGATAAGTAATGTTCACACGGTAGTACTTTAAACCCTTGTGACTCCGGCCAAGAACTCGAATCTTCTCAAGGTCTCGACGAGAGCCCCCAAACTGGGTCTCTGACTGGGTCGCCTTGTGACTGACAGTGCATAGCGCAAAATGGACATCTGAAGCCAACATTGTGGCTGCACGTTGGATACCTTCCAACCGAACAGTAGAGACCGCGGAACCGAGTTATGCTCAGCTGGATCGTCGATTGCGACAGTGGTTTTGACGGGCCAGAGAGGATTTCAGCAGTGGATCGGAGACGCAGAAATCGGCGAACTTCACAATCACGGCGTTCTCAGAAAGAACCGGCCCCATAGCCGTGGTCACTGCAGGCGCTGAGACCACCACGAAGAGTTTGAAAGAATCTGACCGTCACCTCGCCGCGCAGCAGTCGAAAGATTGCTATACCCGTCTGGTCTGTGCAAATGCCGCAAAGAGCACTTTGAGCGCCGTTTACGCCGCTTTGACAGCGACCGTAGCAGCATGTTCTTGTGGGCGCCATCGGAAAACGCCAGAACACTACAATAGAGACAATTGGGCCCTCCGATTGAGCATCCATACCTTCCTTCCTAGTGTTTGTTGAGGTTGATGCCAGCTTGAATGGTGGTGCTCCCTATGCTAGGCAAGCCATCAATTGGAGATTTGTGGCGAGAAAAGAGCTTCTTATGCACATGGCCATTTTGCAGCTAGTCTTAAAACACCAGGAGACCTATGGAACAACGGCCAATCCCAGACATGTTGGTGCGCCGCCGTGGACGCTGGTGTTGATTGCCAGCGAACATTGATGGCGATGGGGAGACCTAACCGCCATTTCTGCCGATCTTACTTCGTGTAGGCCCGAACAACGAGAGAGCCCTACCCTTCTGATACTGCGACGGCCACCGAAAAGGGTATCACTCGTGCATGCGGTCTCCCTGGATACAGCACGCCAATTCTGGTTGGCTCACCAAATGTTCAGATTTGGGCCTGAGTCGTGTGGCTTCAAAGTACTACCCAATGCATGAATCTTATTTTCTGCCAATAAAATTTTGATAACATTGACTAAACACAGAGTAGGTACTCTGGTCCAAATTTTAAAGAAAATACGAAGCACATGATACAAATGTGGTCAGTCAACAGACTGTTTAAATTAATTCCAGACAGAGAAAGTACAACAACAACAGTTATGGCGTACATTAGCGACAATAACAAGCTTTTCAAAGTGGCTGTGGCATAGAACGCCACTGTGCGGCTAGACATGTGATTGCTCGGTTGCAGCAGCTGTGCAGTGGCCATGCCAATTAGACAATGATTCGTATTTTTCTTATTCTAGCAAATATGGTTTAGTTACAATAGAGATTTCAATTTTATATGGAATGCAGCTTGGAGTGTTGTGCTGCAGCTCACCAAAACCATGTGACGTATCTCATCCAACCATGGGGTCTTGCAAGCCATGGCGGGCGTAGCAGCACGCGGCAAACGTTTGTTCGTTCCCCATGAACTTGTTTCCGCAGGCATCACACCTCGGCGGCCATGAATTGCGACAGTTCTTGCTGCGCATTGCGGAGCTTCGTGCCGGTGCAGGATTGCAGTGGGAAGACCGAAGCAGTTGAATTTGCTTGCGCGCGAAGTGGTGGCCGGTCAGCGCCCTGGACTGACGCAAAGGCGAGTCGGCAACAGGCTGCGACTCTCTGAGAAGGGACTGGCAGTTGGACTCTTTCCAGAAACAAGCTTTACATAATAACGAGGCAAACCGGAATTAAGCACTCAAAAGCACATGGGCGAAATGCCGTCATTACAGCCCAGTGTCAAAGTCGGTGTGTGCGCAAAATTGCACGCTGAGGTACATTTTGACACCAGGGAAACAGGCCGCGCAGTAGAGCGTGCCCTCCCAACAAATGCGCACTGCGGTTTCTCCCGCTTCGCAGCGCTGTCAGACCACCTCGAGGACCACCTTGTCGTCAGCTCCCGACAAGGGATACGAGCCATCATGATGTCAGTGATCACTGACGCCGTTCGTTGTGCGTCACATTACATAGCAAATGCTGCGCCACCAGCGCATGTAAAGCGCCTACGTGGATTCTGGACTTTCCGCAATGAATTAGATTTCAATGAGCAAACCATGGACGCCACTCTGCTTGGGCAAGACAGGAGCCTGGTGGCTACTTCGTTGACGCTGGATTTTCCCATGGCGATGATTAAAGCGCCAAGGCTCTCACGCCCAATACGAGCTGGCTCAAGAGCCGGCGTCCGACACATGCCCTGGCGTCTGCGCCCCAAAATCAGCATCCCTGTAAGTGCACAGGGTCCCTTCCGACAGGACGCGGTACACCCGATCCAGGTCGGCGAACTTCGGCCTCCGGACGGCCACCCCCACTCGCCGCCACCTCGCGTCCCTCCTGTCCACCCCCGGTGCTGGGGACCTCGACGCATAGAGCTCGTTCCAGGATCGCACGCCGCCCGAGGCGAACAGCCTGTTGCAGGCCGCGACGCGGGGCCCCCACTCGGCCAGCCGCGACGCGACGGACTGGAAGAGGCGCCGGGTCTCCCGGGAGCGAAGGGAGCCGCCCGCGCTGCCGGCGCCCCCGCCGCGGCGCTCGTAGGTGGCCTGCGCCTTACCTTGTTGCTTCCTGGCGGGCAGGGAATTTTCGAACAGATCATGTTAGCGTTGTTCAACAGGTAACAACATGTCATATTTGTAAATCCATATTGCCGTTGTTGTTGCAATTGTAATCATGTTGCTGCCGCCGTCGTTCGATAGATGGTACAGCGGGGACAGCGTCGACTGTCGAATGGAGCAAAGAGAAGAGCTTTCGGGCAATGCAGTTACAGCAGAATGCACAAGAAAGTGATTCTAAAGTATCATGTACCATGAAACAAGTATTGAGCACAGTGTGTAATGAGGGGCATCAAGTACTATGTATGGCACCCAATTTGCTCCACGAGGGCGCTCAGCATGATATCTGTAATAGAAACGACAATTTGCTATAGGATCTACATTTCCACTCATTGTCCAGTTGTCGATATACCCGTAGTCAATATACACACAGATTTCCAACACGATTTGCCTGTGTTTAGGCGCATGCTACACCACTTCTGAATTTCCTTCCACAGTTCACCGGATTCGAAAGCAACATGCAACTTAACGGAAGAAAAGTAGCAATTTTATCGAACTTTAGCATAACATTCCCATGTATTTTGTGTCGGAGCACTCTGTCAAACACCCAGCAGTTGTCGCTAACGAAAGGCAAACCTGCACTTTCCTCTGCACGGACGCACACCGCATTACTACACCAGCCCTTCCTCTAGGATAAAGACCGTTGAGCGCTTGCCACTCAACAAGGGTACAGTACCTGACCGTGTAACCTCTCAAAACCTTGTGTTCTTTAAGGCTCCCATCCTCCCAAAGCCCGAGAGCTGCAGATTCTGCACTCAACAGGACCACCAGCTGGCAGCCGATGCCTGATGCAGGCAGAGAAAGGACAATTCACTCAACATGTCCCTCAACCAATCCTCGCACAACAGGCCGTCGCGCTCCAAGCTCGGAGCACGGCATAGGTGTATGGGATAAAGAATTTATGGACAAGCACTTCACTTCGACAACGCCCCGCGTACCCCATGCAAAACAATGAAACATGCCAGCCTGCTGAACAACAAAACAAGAGAACAAATCTCTGGGCATTGCATCACAAAGTGCCCATTGCTGACTTGTTGGCAGGAGGGTAGTATTGTATCACTTAGGCAAGTCGAACCAAAGTGGCATCGAAAAGGACCCAAGAATACAAACAAGCAGCTTGAGAAACCAATAACTGCATGCACATTGTTGGAGTTGTGAGAGCAGCAAAAGCACCTTCTTGCTCCAGTTGATCTGTGAACTTCCTACAAGACATAGAATTGGAGGTTGGCTGGTCCAACACCCTGGGCAGCACAATTTCGCAGTTCTCCGATCGGCCAGGACTGTAACCCATCCACACCTCCTTGCCTCCATGCCAACAAAGCCTTGTTGACACAGAAAATTTATCAGTCCCGTCCATGTTCCATACATGCGTGTGCTTCTGTTTGATCCCCTGGAGGATTTCTGGACGACATGCACGAAACTTCGCCAAGAACGTTATTATCCAGTTGGCATGGCTAGTAAGCAGAACCACGAAATGTATTGTTTCCTGTCCTTTAAGGCAGCGGTCCTCGAAGAAATCTTGCTTTGACTAAGTTTTCCAACACAAAATGACTTTTATGGTTTCAACGGTACCTTGCGACCTTCTATTCACAGATAGGCAAGTTTCCATCCATGTTATTCGCACAAAAATGCTGCCGATCTCATTTCCACACAGACTTTCCTGAAGTGCTGGAGAACGTTGTTGCCAAAAGTGAGAATGTTATGCAATGATCCAGCAAATTTTGTCAATGCATTGTATGGCTGAATCCATTCAGTGTTGGTGCCACCAGTGTACAGTAACAATATGGGTGTGCTAGGCAGTGTCTGGCACAGATGCAAATTGGCTGCCTTAAGGCCAATAGACATGTCTGCACCAGCTGGCTGAAGATCGCAATGGCAGCACACAAATGATGACAACTGTGGGACAAAGAGGGGTGAAAACAATAACACTTTGCAAGGCTCATCAATCTCGATTAGCAACTTTGACCATCGTTGCTGATTAACCGCAGATGCTCATGATATTTTCCCAATACTACTAAGGGGATTGCCTACACACACATTTATGTTCATCACAATGCATCGACCTTGCACAGGACACAGTATTATTTGCCATGTTGTGATAGCCCATCGCCCAACATACCCATATTCCTGGTCAAACTCTCGAAGCACCTCGACCAAATTGCAAAGAGGAAGCCTGGTAGTTGTGCCAATGTGTCTCCGGGCTGCCTGCCGCCCTGACGTCTCGACCACGATCTCACGATCGGAGTCTGTCAGTAGCGATCTGTCCTGGAAATCTGTAGCCTCCTCCACAGTTTGCCAATTGGACTCGGAGAGCAGGCGTGAGGATGCATTATCAAGGAGCCAAGCACTCCACTCAGAGTCTGGGCTGACAGAAAACAGTGGGCAGTGAGGACTCCGCATTTATGACCCAACACAGTGATGAGTATCCTGGTTGGTGGTATGTCACGACAATGCAGGTCCACATGCCATGCGTGTTTGCATAAGTTATGATGCCGCAGCCGCACAAGTTTGTGGCAGCTGCAGAAGATTTGGGGACTTGAATTTTCAACCTTCTGCTTGAATGGTCCATCCCAGGGGGAGGTCACAAAAAGCTCTTGATGACACTAAACCCCACTACTGCATATATTCCATTCACGGTTAAGAACATGAACAGTGAATGTAACGGATCAAATGCTTTTGAATGCATGCAGTGACTGCCAGAGCCACGTTTGCACCAAGTTAATACACATTGTGAAACAACAAAAGAGCATTTGAAGATGCATTCTTGCGTTGGGATTGTGGGCCCATCCCACTGGATTGGTGAACGGTTTGCTTTAGTCCAGTTATTGACAGAAATAGCGACTTGTAACACTGAATTCCACTATAATCATTGATTTACAGCAATCATGGTGGCCAACAGGGCCTTCGTTGCTCAAATGAGCCTAAAGCACTAAACGCATGGATTGCAGCAACCTGACATCCAGAGCTCAAATGCTTGCGGTGGGCGGGGAGGTATGAAATGACCGCAGAGGCCAGGTGCGGGCGGCAAGCAGGGTACTCCGCGGTTCGCAAGTCGTTTTAGACTTTGGCTGTGAGTTGGCGTTCACGGGGGTCGCATACAGGACAATGTCTTTTGTCACGAATGCGGTCAGAGGATTTCCTCAGGGCGAGCCGGAAGGGAGTTCAACCAAGGCGCGCATGTCCGCGTTCGCCACAGGACTGAAAATCATCATCGTTAGATGAGCATACGGATGCGAGACAGCCTCCGGCGCCCACCTGACGCCTCTCAAGGCGACGCGCAGGCCCCGCTGGAGATGGCGGGCATGCGATGGCCATGGCACCCCCAACGGCGGGCGCAGCACGCCTCTGGACATCGGGCTGACTCCCACAGAGGGTGGAGGCGCCTCAGATCGAGCTGACGCAAGTGGCCGCAGGCTACGCCCGTGATCGTTGGTTCGGTGCCCGGGGCCAGCGTGCTGGTGGCATAAAATTACTGGCTGCACCAAATCGGTGACTGCTTGCACCAGGTCAGGTGCGCATCATTTCCAACTCCGTCCAAACTAACCTAACCTAAAACCTAAACCTAAGCCTGTCCTAACCCTAGCCCTAACCCTAAAACTCACCCTGAAACTAGACCTAACCCTAAATTTGAGGTTAGGACAAAGTGTGCACGTGACTTGGTGCAAGCAGTCACCGATTTGGTGCAGGCAGTAATACTATTTCCGTGCTGGTTCGAACCCCACCACCTGGCACATGGGCCCCGTGAATAACACAGTCGACATTCCGTCCAGACAGTAAATTCCTTCCGGTGTCAAGACAGCATGAGGTTCCCCGCGACCAGAAGTAGGGATGGAGACAATTCACTTTTGTAAAGAAAAGCATTCACACAATCTTTTGTTTGGTGCTTGGAAAAATCATCAACCAACTATTATCGTTGCGTTCGGCATTGCCACCGCACCTGTATTGACGCTGCTTTTCGACTGCTCGAAAGCGCACCACAGCCCAAACCACCGCGGCGGTGCGACTCCCACAATTCAACAGCCACCATTCCCACACCACACTTCCACTCCCCTGAGACAATCATCCTCACAATTCTCCCCCCCTCATCGCCACGCGTACTGTAGCGTACTCCACCCTTCCGCATGACAACACAGCGCTTGGTCTTGTTTTTACGAAGAAAACGACAAAAAAAATAACCGCATTTTAACAAAATCTTTGCGGGGTAACGTAAAAACAACAATGACGCTCTGAAAAAACCGTGCGGAGCAAAAAACGTAACGGTAAAATTGTTTGATACGGAAGGGTTAAATACACTACCGTAGGCGGCCAGAAATCCGACGCTGCTCAACGGTCCGAGCCCAGCAGAGAAGCGCGACACGACCGAAGTGCCGTGTTTTCACGTTTCCTTTACGGAAACATCACGGAAGACGAGTCCACAACGATTGCCTGCAAAATGCAAAAAATGTGCAAAAAGGGAATGTTTATTCATTCTAGATTTTTTTCCAACCCCCTCACCCCCGCGGCCATCCCCGCCTGCATGTCCAGGCGGGCGTCCTGCTGCACGCAAGCGATGGCCTCCTGGGGCGCGGCCATGGGCCGCACGGCCTCCGAGCCCCTGCCCGCCCGGCCAGCCACCCCCTCCCGCCGCGCGCCCCTCCAGCTCTTCGCGTTTGACGACCGCCGTGGCAACCGCGAGGGCGCCGAATCTGACAAGGTGCTCGCCTTCTACCCGCCGGAGCTGCCCATCGATGATCAGCTCGGCACGGTCGGCCTCGCCCAGGCGCTGGTGACATTCATGACGACCTTCACGGATGGCGATGGTCGGCTGCATTCTTTGGAGACGGATCGCCACTGGTGGGCTGTTCGCCGTTTTGAGGATGGCATCTGGTTTGGGATGGTTGTGGAAAGGATATGGGGGCCCGGGCGGCTGGGCGGGGGCGCATGTGGCGCTCTGCTGGAGGATGTGTATGAGTGGACGCGGCTATTGTACGGGCCGGTGAACCGGTTGCTGGAGAGGGACCCGAGCGGGACGGGCGCAGCGGCCAGCGTGGGGGAGGCGGTGGAGGGCTGGGGGGAGCGGCTGGTGGGCGGGAGGGGCAAGGGGGACAAGGGGGAGTGGGAGAGCCCGTTCGGCGTGGAGAGGCATCGCGTGGTGCCGGCGATGCCGCTGGAGCGTGGGGCGCTGATCGCCACCCAGGTGAGGCGCGGGGGTAAGATTTGCTACAAAGAGAGAAGGAAACAGACCCATCCTAAACAAGAGCATACGGGGCTGTTTTCCATCCTGTGAAAAGATGAGCACACAACACAAGCAACTCAAAAGGCAAGAGAACATGCACTCAAGGGTGGGGCAGGGTGGTGGGGGGATGGCGGGTGGGTCCTGTCAGGCAGTGGAGCATGTCTGGACGGGGAGACTGTGAATCTTTGTTAAGATTGCCTTCGAAAAGATAGAGCGGTGCCCTTGCGCCTTGTAGGCGATGACGGGCAAGCGCATCCATGAGAATGTTTATGTCCAGCATCCGTCTTTTTTGTCTGCCCGCCCACCCTGTGGCAAGGAGGTAGCAGTTGGATGCCCACTTTTGAACAACCAATCGGCGTGTGTGCCTCGTTGATCCAGCAGCTGGCGTATTGTTTGGATCCTTCGATTGTGAATGTCCTATCGGATTGAAAAGCAGGGGCGTTGCTATGGAGGGATTTGAGATTAGACAAGTCAGGAGGGATTATGTATGTTAGCCCTGCTGGGGCAAAATCAATGCCCTTGCACTTTGGAGGCAGTATCGAGTGCATGCACACCCTACATTTGTGTTTCGCAATGGCTCACAGTGCATTGTCTCCCCCAATATTGGAGTCATGGTGATCAGCTTGCTTTGAGCTGATTGAATATGCCTTGAAGTAGGTACAACAGTGCTGCTGCCTGGTCGCTGTTGCTTGCCAGTGGCTTCCTAGTGACATGTCATTGCTTCATGCCTATAAGGCAGCACTCAGAGACTTCGTCATCATCTTGGCTGTGTCCATATGTGTGACAAGAATCGTAAATCGAATTGCCCTTCTACAAGTGTCGCAGCTATCCAACCCTGTATGTCCTGGTTTTTTAATTGATTCCAGTTGCCAATGACCACTTGTACCCAGGAAATCTGTTATCAAGCATTTGGCAAAGGGAAATGGGAACAGGCTGCAAGAAAACGCCCCTCCATCACCACACCCTAACCACCGCCCACTACCTACTGAAACATGTTGGACACCTTGCCTAAAGGAAGCATGGCACAGAAATTGGATCTGTGCATCGCCCCTTCAACCTTTCTGGTGCCCCTGCCCACATCTGCACAGACATTTGACAGTCTTGCTCACACTCTTGCTCTCATGGAGGATACCAAATTCCTTGTGGGGTATCCTTACCACAAGACAAACTATGATATAGTGAGGTAATTTTTGACAGCACTGTGTGGCTTTATGCTAAAAGCATAGAGCCATGTTTCACTTCATGCTGAAAGCACAAGCGTGTATGAACATGGTCGGGATGGGGCTTACCCATTCAAAGCAAAATCTTCCTGCGCATTTGAGCACGATCGCACTTGTGCAGGAAGTTGTGGGTAGGCTGTTGACTGCAACACACAACAGCTTGAAGCCGGTGAGGGCAGTGCTTGTTGTGTACGACAATATGCTGCTGTGGAGCACCATGGACGCGGCCACGACTCGAACGGTCTTCAACTATGTGACGAAAACCATCTCCAACGGCTCGAAGCCTCAGCTAGCCAGGCGCTCCTCCACACTGAAGATCCCCTCTGACGGAGGGAGTCTGGTCAGCTGCTGGCCAGTTACAGTCAGACAGGGGCTCCTCACATTTTTCCTCCTGATCGACGAGTTTGCCGGTGGAACGGGTCAGGTGCTCAACCAGGTGTGCATTGGCATTTGATTTCATCTGCAGAAAGATTGGCAAAGCACAGCACATGCACCTGGAAGGCGATGATGGACATAATATTGTTGTCAACCAGGCGGAGGATGTTTGCATAGCTGCTGTTGATCAAGTGAAGTTGAACATCAGATAAGACTGTGCGCCCAGCCTGTGTGGGAAATCTCTACTTTAGTCATCAACCTGGCATCTTGTTCAAGTGAGTGGCAGTAGTATTGTGGGCAGCAGGCTTCTGTGTGTGTATGAACAATGCTGAAAGTCATAGAGCTGCACTTCCACCTCCTAGGCAAGGACAGGTTTGAGTCCATCCATTGAAGCACGCATTCCCTCACCATCCTCACCCAAATTAATACAATCAGGAAGTGAGTTTATTTTGTGAGCCAACGATTTCCATGTCCTGTCCAGGTGCGGGGCGTGATGTCTGGACGAGCTAAACAGATCGCAGGCGCAGCTGCCGACTTGCTGTCCTCGCGCAACAAGTTCCACGTGTCTGGGTACCGCTACCTCGTGGTGGACTCAGCGATGCACTACGGCACTGCCAGCCCCAAGAAGAAGTTAGCACACTTGTCCAGAAAGACCTTGGCCTTGCTGGCGCAGGCCCAGGCGTGTTTAATGGATAGGGGCCCAGATGGGGAGCCGCCGTGTGAGGGAGCAGAGGTCGCTGCAAGGGGGGACCACGGGGCATGGGTGTATGTCAGGAAGGGGACGACGAACTCCCTGTCAGTGGCGCTGGAGCAGCTTCCAGATGAGGGCCTCGTGGAGATAGGCGACCACGTCGGCAAGTTGTGTGATAAATTCTTTCCAGGGTTTTTTGATATCTAGGGTGGTAGGGTGGCATCCAGGTGTACCAGTATGTGGGAGGGGTGAACCGTCACGGCTGGAGGGGAGGGGGAGATGTACAAAAGTCGCCGAGTTCTTTTCAAGTCTCCAATTCTTCGGGTGCCCGGGCGCTGCTGTCCTCTCCTTCGCACCTCTCTGGTGGGTTGTCCTGGAGAATGAGGACTGTCCCCTGCAGGCGGAAGTGACCGCTTGGCTGTTGGCCGCACTCATGGATTGCGGGCAACTCAGGCCCTGGAAACACACTCAGGTTGCCCACGGCACAGCGTGGCTGCTTGCGATAGAGTGTATGGCGTGCGGCAAGCCCTCTGCATTCCAGCCATGGGATGCCCTCCCTTCCAGGTGGACACTGTATTTCAATATTGCTGCGGCCACATGCTCAAGTGTCCCTGCAGTGCGAAAGCATGCCCATCGCCCTTGGTTTTTGCACTGGATTTGATGGAATCCCACTCCTAATGGAGTCTTTGGATTCTCCCTTCAGCTGATAAGCCTCCTTGCAGCTGGGCCTTGATGGCCGTGTGTGGCATTGAGTGGATAGCATCCGTACATTGCAGAAACTTCACATGCGTGCGTGTATGAAGCGCGGATTGACGAACGCCGCATGGGGACTTGTGCAAGCGTGGGGCCCTGTGACCTTCGCGCCTATTGCGCGATAACACGCGGATGGTCGCGAGTTTGGGGCAACTGCCTGACATCCAGCTTGGATGTGCATGACATGCAATTGTGGGCATATCTCTCAGCGGGTGGGCAGCCATGCATCCGAGCCAACTGCTGATGCGAAAGCCACGAGCGAGAGCCAGCAGCTGGTGCAACACTTCGAATATAATACAGGCGACAATGCAGGAGTCAGCTATGAGGCGCCGCGCCATTGGTCCGTTGTCTATGACTACCCCCGCCAAATTCATGCCCGTGGTGCCACCCGTGAGCGACTGCATTCAGCTGGGAAAAGAGACGAAGCCGATGCTCTCACCCACACCGCTCTGAAATCCGCAGAAGCCGTTGGTCTTTGGATTTTGCTGATTTTAGCACTGCAGTCAATTCTATTGCCCATGATGTGCACACCACGGCCACGGACACTGGACACTGTGCGAGACCACGGCATGGGCATCGCTCCACCAATCCCCACTGACGCGCTCGCAACGACCCGGCACGTCCTGGAGACATCACCTGGGGACGGCGGTCTCGCCCCCACCCCTCATTGATGCATGAAGCGACCCTTGAACGCAAAAGTACTGCCAGCGAAAAGATTCCAACCTCGAAGCTTTCGGCTCTGCTCCCTGAATCAGGGGCTCTTGGGGAAGACGTGGGGGCTTGAACTCACAGGCAGTGGTTGGTAGCCTCCGCGCAATGGGGTGACTTGGGCTCTGGCTGAGGCGCGAGGGGAGGGTGCACGGCCTTGGACTTCGCCCCTACGGTCGCCGCAGAGGGAGGAGGCTGCCCAGATGCACATGAAGATGGCCAAGGTGGAGGACAGGACGAGAGCCACCGACTGCATAATGGCGTAGGGCAGGTCCGCTTGGGAGGTGCACGCTGCGTGAGGCACCGAGGCGCCAAACTGGGTTTAGGAAATTTTCACAGATTCTGGGCGGAGATTTGCCATTGCAGGTGTTCGCGATCAACGTGGCTGCAAGCAATTCAGTATGTCCAGAAAGGGGTGGACCAACGTGGGATCGATTTGGAGACTTGTCGGCACAAGCGCGTCGAGAAGCCCAGCTTGCAGGTACGCTAAGTGATTCCAATCGAACACAAATCGAGCTCGAGCTTCTTCCCACAGGAGGCTGCACCGGTTAGAGTTCTCCCGAACATCAATGTACGTCGACAAGGTGCACGTGATGGCAACATGGTCGTCAGTACCATAACTGTAGATTTGGTGATTGGCGCTATATATTGATTCCCGTTATACCACAATTGACTTTGCTGCCATAGGATTTTCGAAAAGTCGCAAAACTGTCCCGAAGTCGATCAAAATTATATTCAATGGCATCGTGCTGTGTATTCATTTCACCGCCACCAAGCAAACAATTGTAGACAAGGTAAGACAGTTTTGCGCTACCCACTTGCGAATTCGTACTCCAAGTCGGTAGTCTCCGATACCGGCTGCATGAAGTTGAGGGTGGGTGCCTCCGTGTTGGCGAACACCAGGCACCAATCCACGTCTTGCATGAAGTCCATTCGCCTCGAGCAGCCAAGGCCCACACATTCGCTGTTCGGCATGACGTTGTCGTATGTGAACGAATTCATGTCCACAAAGCTCCCCATCCGAGAATGCTGTGCCGAAAACCAGAAAGTTCTGCTTATCTTCACTGCTGACAGTGATGATATGCTGCAGCTAGCAACCACAACATTTAACGAAACCTGCTGCATCCCATGGTCAATGTTGCATTGCTGTGAAATGAAGTGTTGCTTGCTGACGTTGGCTGTCGCCACACGTGGTTATCAACTGCGGGCTCTGTTGCATGGTTTGGACAGTGGGTACGCTTTCGAGCACACTGAAGCAATTGGCCTTCTCTTCGAGGCACTGGCTGTGCCACCCAAATTTTCACAAGAACGACAGCTGTTGCGGCGCGATCACAAAATTGTGCGTTGTACTGAATCGCTGTTAAGCTGATTTCCACACCCATGCTTTGAAGAACGCCCGCGCTTTAAGACAACGATTGCAGTGGATTCATTGCAAGTAGGATGGAGCAGTGCACGCCGTCGGCTCAAAGGTGCATTCACTGCCAATTTGGTAGTGTTTTCGCATCATCATCATCATCAGGCAAATACAGCAAAAGCGTAAACAACCAAGGCCCGCGCGCATGAACGACTGTGAATGTGGTGCCCATTTCGAAATTTTGTTTCCTTTCTACTGACAGGCCCTGTTTACCCACCAGGTACACTGTGCGATCTACGACGAACGACACTATGGGATTCTCCGCCTCATAAATGTACTCCATGCAGTTTTTGACCCCCAGGGAGTCCTCGCTGGCACAGGCGAAGTACACCTGACCCGCTCCCAATGTCCTTACGACCTTCTTCTTGGCGTAAATCTTCAGATTGTCTTCCTCAAGGACCTCCAGCAACTGCCTGCGGGTCGCGACAGGAGTGCTGATCATGTGATGTGGACATTCAACTTCCAATTTGGTTCAAGACAAACTTGGTCTTTGGCATTGCCATTTGTGGAGACTCTCTTATGGAAATTCTGCAGGCAGCAACGTGCCTACCTCTCCTAGAATATATGAGAGCCGTGTTTTTGAAACGAATAAAGCAAAAAATCAGCTCAAAGAGGTCAGTTTCTGGACACTCAACTCAAGATATTCAAAACAATCGCTTGAAGCAACAGCCGCGAAAACAAGACTTCATTTCGCTTTGATTCCTTGTTTGAAGCGGGATAAATCACGCGTCAGTGAAGCAAGCATTTTGCTGATTGGTTTCGTAGCAATAGCGTAACGTTTTGGAAATTGAAAGAGAACAAAATCGAGTGAAAATGCAAAATTGAGCAAACTGCAAGTTATTAAAGCCCTTAAGCAGTGCTGAACGCACACAAATAGCACCATTTCTGCATGGCATGAATTTCGTAGATGGGCACAAGGGGGATATGCTGTCTCTATTGTTTAATTTTTGTGTCTGTATTTTTGCATTTGACCATATGAGTATGTGCACGAGAAGATTTCAAATTGCACTGCAGCAGGGTAATGACATGGTGCCGCTTGGTTAGTTCCTGTCGATGTCTATTTCTAGTTTCCGTCGTCGATTTCATTAATCTAATCCCTGACTGCGATGCTCCCAGTGCCATTAGTGCTGCATTTCTGAACAGCAAGAAAGGCTTCGAATGTGAGATACCCTGATATTACAACGAGCGCCCTCAGCACATATTTTTGAGCATCTATTTTAAATTCTGAGCATGGTGAAACTACGATTTGAGAAGTAGTGCGGCGATCCTTGTTCGCGGAGTTCTGGGCTTCTTTCTGTCGATCTTATCTATCCACAACGATATCAACGTTCGTGCAGCCCGGCTGCGCCTTGCACTTCGCTGTCGGCTTGTCCCAAAAGACGTTCCTATATTCGGATTGAAAGAGGGAGAGGAGGAGTTAGAAGGCAAGGGCCACATGAACTTGATAACAGAATTCAAGGACACGGTAGTGATTTTGCAATGCAAGGGATTTTAAAGATTTTGTTACCTTTCTGTTCCTGACTGGACGTCAAGGATTGAGTCATCTTCAAAGATGGCTGAGCCGCTAGCCATCGCATGGGATATCATCAACAGACACATTGTCAAAACCCACACATGCATTGGAGGCCACATGTTGGTCCTGCCCCTTGATATCACCTAACAGGACAAATTGCGTCCTTAGGCGCCATTGCATGTTGCATTGGAAATGCGCCGACATGTGTGTTAGCAATGTGGTGCCATTCAGAAAATAGGACATACAAAGGCAGGAAGATAACCATCAGCTCATTGTGGTGAAATGTTACAGTTAGCGCCAATTGCTGAAAGGTGCCACCAAAGAACACGACCCCTCACTCTGTTTCTTTTCAGCACATGGCGCATCGCTAATTCGTGACTTTTGACAATCCAATGCGGTCTCCGCCCTACATTAATCGCGATGGATGGACCAATACCATTTTCGTCGATGAGATTTTTTCAGTGGGACCGCGCACATTTCTTGCTCGTGAGTGGCCCACCATTATGTATGGTGCATCGGTTTCTGCTGAAGAGACAATGTGAGGCACGGTGGCGTCAGCAATTGTGCAAGCAAGTGTATTTGATTGAGGTGAGATTCAACAGCGCAAATGCTGCTCGTGGTGCTTGAAAATTAGCATAGCCAGATGTCTGGCAGCACGATCAACAGCAAAACTCCAGCAATTGGCAAAACGATTTTTCCTGCCGCACCCACATGAACCTTTTCAAGATAATGGATTTCGTGATGATGATGATTGTCAGGTTGACCGAACACTCTCGTGCGCTCACACATGGTCGCTCCCAGGCGCGGAAAGCGAGGTCGCAACCAGATGCCTCACAGGATAAGTGTTTCAGCTAAATAACAGTCACTGCAATAATGTTCACTTCCCCATTTACATTCACCATAACACCATGCTCACCATATTTACTTTCCACCATAAAAAGACACCATGTATCATATATCGCATATATCCACTGCTCCCTCGCCCTCACAATGATGATGACCGCTATTAAGTATTAACAACGCGCGGTATCGCGCACATGACGCTGGGCAGGCTGCTAGGAAACACAAGAATGACAGAAGTGCCACGTTGCGCCGCATCTTCCCACGCCCCAACCCTGCTCCAGGCGCTGACTGTCGCGAACTTCCCGGGCTGGTTGACAAGCTTTGTGGCGAGGAGCCCTCCCAGGCCTCCGCCCCACGGCGCAGCGACCCTCGACCCGTCCGAGCTCAACTTGACTTTCCAGACAAGCTCGACCCAACCCAAGAGCGGCCCGACAGCAACGACCACATACCCGCCTGGAGATCCGCCACGACAGGAAGCGCAACCTCCGTTCCAGTCATCTTGCGCGCCCAAGCGCGTCTTCGGGATTGGCCCGGCCTGCCTGGCCCACGGAGCCGGCAAACGCCATCCGGAAAGTGCAATCGCGCCGCTCGCGCACCCCGGCGACCGCCTCGCGTGACACTCGAGTCACAACCCGCCACTGCGACATCCGTGCGCTCGCCGTCCTCGGATGGGGACCCTGCGGTGCTGTCCGCCCGGACCACATGATGCGCGTCGCAGGCCCGCGTTACCAAGTGCCAATCGCCACCATCCTCGGATGTCAACTACGTCCCCGCGAAGATCCCACCCCCCAACCCTTTCCCCGCATTCCCCCCTTTCCCCCTTCTCTGTCCAGAACAGCAGAGTACCCCTTCGGCGCCTCACATCCCATTTCTCCCCCCGGGTCGCCCTCCTTGGCCGCGCCTCACCACGATGATTGGCCTTCTCCGTCAAACACCACGATCGGATCCTCTCCCGGCACCGCTGCCTGCGCACGCACCTACACGCCTTCCTCAGTTTTCGCGAAGCCTCTCGAGTGCGTTGCTTTCTCGCCCGCCCGCTGCCGCTCGCGGTCCAGCCCTCTGCCCCCCCTCCTCGTATGGATCCAGGCCGAGTCAGTCCAACGTCCGGCTGGGTTCCTCGTCTGGGTTGGGCCGGCGTGGGCCAGGCCGCCAAACACAATCAGGCGCAGTCATGGGTCACACCACCTGGTGTG